GTCTGGCACGCGCCTGTGCGGGGAGCCTCTGCCCTCCTCAGCTGTGAGAGCTAACGTAAGACCTCATGAGCCAGAGGAGAAACTGAGGCACAGCTTTACCAAATCCTGTGTTCAGTTAGTACCAGAGGGGACCAGCAACATGCAGCCTCCTTAAGAGACCTTTCCACTGTGTCACCTGCCACTTTGGGGGTTCACAGGGACTCCCCTGAGCCTCAGATGGAGTCCTGTGAGGGGCAGGGGCATCATCTCTGCTTTGTGCAGCCGCAGGAAAGGGCGCTGCCTTGGGATGCAAGGGAGATGGAGGGGACAGCTGGGGACAGCTGGCCAGGCTCTGGAGGCCCTTTTAAAGCATTTCGAGTGTAAGTGAAGGCAGTGTCGTCATGACAACTGAAGGTCACACCCACCCCCTCCACCCTTGGCCCTGCTCTGGGTCCTGCACCTGGGCTCACTCCAGCAGGCTCCTAACCTCGTTGCTGTTGGGAGGGAGCTGCTGCTTCCTGGGTGCAGCCCGGGACCCTGTGACTAGGGCAGTAATTTTCCTTTTCCTTTTCTTTCTTTTTTTTAATCATGCAGTTGGGCTTCAGGTATCATTTTATTGTACCTAAGATAGGTGGTTTAAAAAATAACCAACTGATATTCAAGCCCCTTCCGGTTGCTCCTTTAGCTCCTTACCGTCTCCCTCCTCTTTATGGCCTCTTCTGCCAGCCCGAGAGGACCAGCCCGCTCCCTGCCCAGATGCTCTTGATCCTCATTGCCTCCTTCCCTCAGTACCCTGCTCTCCCTCACCACCTTCTATAGAAATGTGTGTGCTTTAGGTGAGCTTACGTGTTCCTTTCAGCCCATGTAGAAGTTTTTTCAGGAAAATCAGATGACAAACACACCCCAATCCCTGCCAGAGTCTACTGTGGCACCCTCGACCCCATCGGGTCATAAAGATAAAGGGAAAAGTTGCGGGAAGGTCAAAGGTAACTCCACAATGTGAGAAGAGGCACACCCAAGAGCCTTCTGCCTGGGGCAGCAAATGTGTCTGACCCCACAGAGACCTTAACAGGCAGAGTTAGTTACAGATCAGGAAGTCAAGCCAGTGTTTGGGGCAGGTTGACACACATCCGTGTCCCTCAAGGAGATTTTCAGTGAGGAGTTGCTCCTCTGAGTTCTCTGAGACAACTTGATACACCCATTGGAGACCCAGCACAAAAAACACAGTCCCATGTCTGCTCTTCCTCAATTGTGCCGACCTTCTGGAACCACAATACAACAAGGAGGAAAGAAGGAGCTCCCCTTTGCTCCCTGTCAGTGGGGGAACAGGGCTGTGGTCCTGGAGCTTTGCCGGTGAGCTGTGGTGACCGAAGAGCCCACGAAGTCTACAGCCGCCCCCGTGTTGTCCTCGTGAGTCAGAGGCCCAGAGGAAGGGACCACCGCAAAGGGCCACCAGGACACCCAGCTCCCTGTAGAGATCCTGAGACAGAAATCCCTGTTCCTACTCTGGCAAACCGTGTCATCCAGTTATAAAAATAATGACTAGTTTTTTGGAAATATTAATTATATTATCAGGCACTATGCTAAGTGCTTTGCAGGAATTCTTTTTTTTTTTACAACAGTTACAAAGATTAATAGATTTATCCTCATTATACAATTAGGAAGTAATCTTTGAGACATATGTGGTTTGCAGAAAACCACAAAGAAATTGTGATGTTTGCCTTGTAATGTATGTCTATCTAGTTGAAGGGTTCAAGTTCTTAATCACTTATGTGTGATTTTGTCAGCTCATTGGTCTCTATTTTTCTTATCTTATCCATGAACAGGTTGACTTTAATCTCCAATGTGGTATGCAGTTCTCAGAGACCAGACAGAATGTAGTTTAGTGTATGTGAGAAATGAGATAGTGGCACTAATGGAATATGCTAATTGAAAGAGGATTGTATGGTATGGTGACAAGATTATCAGGTCTCAAGGAATTAGTGTATAATTCAATGTACTTCACGCTCCAGAAGGGATTTAATTTTTCGGTGAATATCCAGAAGGCATTTCAGGAGCATACATACAATACTCAAAAAGAAAACAAAACAATAAATTTGAGCACAAATCACATGGGGAGCTGTGAACTAAACTGTATACAAAAGGGAAATTATGCAGAGCTGCTCTCAAGGAGCTCATATTCTAGTAGAACATCAATTACTAACAAACAAGGCTGCAGGATTTGTCTAGTACTTTAAACTTTAGATTTACTTGGATTCTGGAAAAACAGGAATTTTGTCTAACTATAATGTATCTAATTAATTGAATCTCCACACTCTATTTTGCTTCCTTTAGTCTCCATTAAAATCAATTGTAGCTCTTAATTACCTATGTCTAGCAGGGCAGGTCAATTTGAGATAGGATATCTGCCACAGGTCATGGACAGGGAAGAAAATCCTCAGTACGGGTAGAGATGAAGAAACAGTGTGTTTTATTAAGTAATTTCCTGTAAGACATATAGCTGGAGAAATAGCAGCAAACTAATCCCCAGTTCATTTTCTCTGATCCTTACACTTATCTTCAGATTTTAACAGATATATAGGGAAAGGAGATAATATTGTTTTAGGTAAAATTGCAGGACAAAGTAAACAAAATGCCGGAAGTAATTGGGAGTCAAATATTATTAATAACCAAAATAGAAGGGAGTAATCTGAAAATTAGAACTGTGTTGATAGTGACCTTCCTCTCTAGAAAGGTACCGAGCAGTTTTTGACCAGTGCCATGATGGGAATGTTATGCCTTTGGCTGTTGACTCCATGCAGAAAACCTACAATTTTATTCCTGTTTTTCTATTATAAGTGATCACAGCACATGCAAAAAACCATTCTTATCATTTGATAGAAGAAGATAACTCTCAATTTAGAATAGGGCAAAATTTGCATGGTCAGGGCCTGATGAGATGGAAATTGGAATATAACTGGGTCCAGGAACTCCCTCAGAGAAAATCTTCCCCACTCTCTACAATGGGAGAAGTAGACGCCTTTTGTGCATTCATCGTTGTTTCACGGTTGTATTTTGTGGACCTTCTCAATTCTTGATCTTGAAATGTTTCTCAAAGTTATCTGAGGACATTCAGCTTGGTCTGGATCTATAACCCCACATATGTGGAACATTGCAGAAAGAAAATATGGCGGCTGGACCAGAATTACAAGGTGTCATAAGACTACCGAGAGGGAAGTTTCTTAAATTTCATTGCCAAAAATCCACATGGGACTCCTGTTCAACCCCACCCATCATCAAGGCAGAGGGTGGGGTTGGCTCCGGTGCCCTCAAGCCCCACAGGTCCGTGTGCCTCTGCTCACGGTGTGTGGTCATCGAGGTGCTGTATACAGACACAGCAACCTTATGATATGGGGAGTAATATACAAATTTGTAGCTTAAGAAACCGAGGCACCGACAGATTGAGAAATAGTTTAAAATCATACATGTTGGAAGTATTAAAAAAAATTTTAGACACACTAAATTTAGCAGAGTTTAATTGGGCCAAGAATGATTCTGGAATCATGCAGCTCTCAGAGCCAGAACAGATTCAGAGAACTCCAGGCAGCAACTTGATCAGACAGCATTTCTGGACAGAAAGGGAAGTGAGGTACAGAGATAGCTCCATTGGCTAGAGCTGGCGTTTGCCTGTTTGAACATGGTTTGAACACTTGTCTCCCTGCAATTGGCTCAAGCAGGGCTGCAACTCAGTTTTTCACTACCAAAGTGTACTCCTCATTAGGCTTTCAGTTACTTGACATACTAGGTTAGGTTGCAGTTTGTTACATAAGGACTCAGGTACAGAGGTGTCCTCAGGCCAAATTTATAAATCCTTTATTTTATTCTGGGAGATTTTACTGCAAAATTATTTTATTATTGGTCTGTAAACTGAATAAAATTACAGATGGGGCTGGTGAGGGTTCAGCTACTGATTTTTTTTTTTGGACTGACACACATCATGGATGGTTCTTCCTTGGACGAGGACATCATCTACCTGGAGTGCACGAAACCACCACCTCTCCCAAGGATGACCTTGGCCCTCACAGCTCCCCTGGGATGCTCATAGGTTCTAAACCCCACTAGAGATTTTCTTGCTGAGGATATAATTTGCCCCATTTTGATACTTTCATTGTGTTTTCTCTGCTGTATTTAACAGCTTCCTTAAAAGTGATTGGACCTTCCCAGCCCATCCTTGTCAGAGTGGGAGAAGACATACAGTTGACCTGTCACCTGTCTCCCAAGGCTAATGCACAGAGCATGGAGGTGAGGTGGGTCCGATCCCACCGTTACCCTGCTGTGCATGTGCACGTGGATGGGGACCCTGTGCCTGGAGAGCAGATGGCAGAGTACAGAGGGAGGACCACGCTGGTGAGTGACGCCATCGACGAGGGCAGACTGACCCTGCAGATACGCAGCGCCAGGCCTTCAGATGATGGGCAGTACCGGTGCATTTTTGAAAAAGATGGTGTCTACCAGGAGGCCAGTTTGGATCTAAAGGTGGTAGGTAAGGATCCCAGATAGATGTTTTGGATTTAACATCTGTTCCTACCACTTTAACATGCTAGTTCCTGGAAAATTTCTCTGCACCTGTAATTTTCTTAATGTGCATTTGTCATCAAATTTACATCAAACCCTCCAGTGTGCAGGAAGTGTCATAGATACTTAAAGTCCACAAACTCAAATGGACCAAATGTAATTCCTTAGGTAATAGAACTTGTATCCTTTCCAGTATTTTCAAAAAGCGAGCATGTATTTATGGACGTCTAAGCATTTCACTCCATAAATTTACATAGGACTCATTAATTCATAGTTTGTTATTAAAATTTTGGAAAGTATGGTTACTAGGAAGTATAATAATGTGAGGAATAAACTAGATCCACTACATAAACAAAAATCATATAGATTGACAGCATTGGCAAGGACAGAGGGGGAAAGATAAAATCACTCCCTGCATCACCATTTCCCACTGTCTACATCTGAGAGAATCATTTTCCAAGGTTAGCAAATGCCATTGAGGGCATAGGCCCGAATCCTCGAGAGCCTACACTTTTCTCCCATGGATTCTCAATCTACATTGCTAAATACGTTTAGGAAATATCCACAGGGACACATGCTGAGAAGTCGAATGGGCCTCGTCATTTTCTGCTATTGGACATAGATATTTATAAAATTTTCATCTTTGAGAATATTCTCTCACTCACTTTTTTTTTTTACTCCTGTCCATGTGATCCACGCCCTGTCAAAGTTATTTTGTTCTCAGGGACAGAAGAATAATATTGGATTTGAAAATATGTCTTATCTCTTAATCTGTCTCAGAATAGTTTAGGAATAAAAAACATAAAAATAAAAACAAATAAACAAAATAAGATGACATCCCAGCCAGGCTCTTCCCTTGGTGGAGTATAATTCCCCCTTAAGCTTTGCTGTCTTCCCTACGCCCTCCGTACCCCAACCTTCTGAGTGACGTCACGGCCACACAACCACCCAGAGAGACTCTAGGCCTTGGTTCCTGGATCTCTATCCCCAGGTCTGGGTTCTTCCCCGCTGATCACCATGGAGGCCACCAAGGCTGGAGAAACACAGCTGACGTGCTCTTCAGATGGGTGGTTCCCGCGGCCCCACGTACAGTGGAGGGACACAGAAGGGAAGACAATGCCACCATCTTCTGAGAACCTGACTCAAGGCAGCCACGGGCTGTTCCACGTGGAGACATTTCTGTTGGTCACGAACATTACTGCTGGGAATGTGACTTGTTCCATCAGCAGCCCCCTTCTGAGTGAAGAGAAAACAGCAACTTTTTCTCTCTCAGGTTGGTGATTCCATATGTTCCCCTCAGGTTTGGGAAACAAACATCAAGACTAACCCAAACTTACACATTTTATTGCTTTTCTTTAAAAAATTTTTATTTTCTTCTCTGCGAGGAAGTATCCTGCTATCTCTTGGGAGGCTGGTTTTCAGGACATCCAGGGATCTCCTCCCCTGAGTTTCTCCCTCGCATCCCCAACTAAGGCCTAAAATTGTATTTTTTGTTGGGTGTAGACTAAGTTGAGTCTGTCTTCACTATAACTCCAAATTCTCCTCTTCTGACGTGAAAACTATTACAGCCCTTTGTTTTTTTGCGCCTCACGGTGGATTTTCTTCTGGATTAGAAACTAATTTTCCCTAATACCATCTTCATGGTTGTGGCCTGGGGAATTTTATCCTTTTGCCACCTCCCTTATTCCAGTGATTCTATGATATAATCGGAAGAGAGAAGGGAAAATGTGTGTGTGTGAGGAGCAAACACTGAAGTGAGGCTAAGCTTACAGTCTTTCCTCTGCTCCCACAGAGCAGGGAGCAGCGGACAACTGCCTCCCTGAGAGGCCCAGTTCCCTCCCTCCTCCCCAGCCCAGGAGTTGCTCAGATGAAAAGGATGATCTTGATATATTGTCCCAGTTTCACGATTTAATGGGATTCTGGGTTTCCATTTTAGAGCCTCAGATGACTTTTTTGTGGGAGATACTGCTTATTTGGGGATTGCTTCTTGCTGCTGCGGCTGTAGGCCTGACCAAGAGGAGGAGCTGTGGCAATGGTAAGCTGGTAAACAAACAGTGTGAGCACTTTCCCCAGCCTTCCTGGTCAGCACCCCGCCCCCCGCCCCGGGGGACTTTCAGTGAGTACTCGGGCAAACATGAGCGCCCATGGCTCATGCTCATGGAATCGAGGCTCAGTGCCTAGTGAGGCCACAGGTTACAGTGGTAATAGAAGCAAAAGGGCTAAAATACAATAATTTGATTCTACTGCCCATCTCCAAGTGACTCAGTCAAGGGAGAGGAAGAAAAAGGTCAATGGCATAGCTGTCCTTGTTTTTGCAGCTGAGAGATAAGAATTCACTGAGAGTCTGTTGGCATGAACATTTTACTGCCATCTTAAAAAATGTGGGGACCCACTTACTGGTGATTCTTGCTCTGCCGGTGGAGGACTTCCCACGTGTTGACAGAAAGGCTGTTTTGTGCGCTCTGTAAAGTTCTCCCACTTTAAATTTCGTATGTCAGTGAAAATTTGTTTACCTGTTTGGATGTTAACAGCATAAAATTAATACTTTTCAGTACTGATTAATTATCAGAATGGATTTTCTTTCTTTGCAGTGAATGTGACCCAGGATCCAAATACAGCTCACGGGAAACTGATTCTTCCTGAGGGAAGCAAGGGTGTGTCCCCCGGACATTCCGGCGGCCAGACATCCCCCAGAGATGTGACTACCTACTCTGTGTGGTGGGCCAAGAGGGGTTTGAAGCAGGGAGGTGGTACTGAGAGGTGCAGGTTGGGCACCGGGCAGGATGGGTCTCGGGTGTTGCCAAGGACAGTGTTGTGAGGAAAGGAGCTATCGCTGTGTCACCTGGGAATGAGGTTTCGGCAATGGGTTGCTATGGAAGTGACGCCTGGGCCATCACCTCTCCTCCAATCCTCCTCTCCCTTAAGGTGGCCCCTGAACAGATCAGAACCTCCCTGACTGTGCCTCTGAACACCTCTCCTTTCACACCAGCACCAGCAAGTGCCCTCTCTCCACTTTCCCTGAGGCTTTCTGGGACTCGGCATCCTCTTCATTCTATGGTTCCTTGATGGAGATTCTCTGGGATTTTTCTACACCCAGAAGGGCCTCTTCAACATCTCCAAGGAAAACAACAACTCTGGATTCTGGAAACCCAGATGATCTTCTGAGTCCCAGATCTTTTCTCCTTTCACCAACTGCTTGGAGGGACTCGCATGATCATAAGAGCCAAGTCGAGTGCTTTAATCTCACTCTGGCTTCAAATCTGCCTGGAGACTGGGCCCTTCAGAGACCTATCCTACTCCAGATTCCCTGCTACCCAGCCTACTGATCACAGTCTCATCTCTGATGCCCAAGGACCCTTAGGAGATAAAATGGAAAATGCACTTTAGCCTAGAGAAAGAAATGAAAGGGATAATCAAGTATTTGATCAGTTTCTTTAAGAAGATGACAATGAATTGTCCATGTAAGTGGAGCTGAGAAAACAAAAAGTACAGTTAAAAAAAGATTGAGAGAAAATACAGCTGAATATAAGGAGAAAAATCTGATCACTAAGATATAATCTTGAAAATCAAGTGTTGTGAAATCCCTACTTCAGAAGGTTAATAGAGGATGTCGAGTGAGGAAAAATTTTAGACATTCTAATCCAAGAGAGAAATTAATTATGTATCATGTATATGAAAATGTCAATTTACAGAGAAAAATAAAATGCACAATTTAAAATTAATAATTATGAGATAAATAAACATAGCAATAAGTGCAACACAGAGGAAAAAATATTTTAAAGTCATAATATTTAAAGAAGAGAAACTGTATGTGAAAGAAAAAAGAATGTGAAAAAGAAAGATTTTCAGAAAGAGTCTTAAAATCTTGTGAAGTGGGAAAGAGGAATACGTGCCAATGACACTCTCGCTTTCTAGGATGGGATGGCAGACAGCACACAGGTGTCACCGTCCTACGGGGGCCATTCTTTGACAGCACTCTGGAGTTTCCATTCTAGGTCACAATTTTTTGTTTTTGCATTTTTGAACTCAAGTTAATGTTTCAGACTATGTATTGTTCTTCCAAAAATATTTACACATTTATTTTATTTTATTTAAAAAATGTTTCAATTGTGATAAAATATACCTAACATAAAATTTATCATTTTGACCATTTTAAAGTGTACAGTGCAGTGGTGTCTGGTACATTCACAGTGTTGTGAGACCATCATCACTATCTAGTTTCAGAATATTTTCGTCACGTCAAAGTAAACTCCATACCCATTAAGCATTACTAGTAGCCCTTCAACTCATATTTTTCCTCCCCCTACCCCCAGAAATCTCCTTTCTGTCTCTATGAACTTTCCTATTCTGGGTATGATTCAATAAATGGAATCATAAAATATTTCTGTGTGTGTGGCTTTTACCTAGCACGACGTTTTCAAGGTTCTTCCTTGTTGTAGTACATACATACCAGTACTTCATTCCTTTTTTTAAAACAAAAGAAATTAACAGACATTATTCTAAGACAGTTTAAGGTTTACAGCAAAATTGTGTGGAAAATCCAGAGTGTTCCCAGATCCTCAAATCTCTCCACTCTCTCTCGTAGTTTTCCCTATTATTAATGTTTCACGTTAGTGTGGTACATTTGTTACAACTGTTGAACAAATATTGATACATTATTTCCAACAAAAGCCCATGGCTGACATTATGGTTCCCTTTTTGTGTTGTACAATCTATGGCGTTTAACAAATGATTTGTACATTACATTGATATACCCTTTATATTTTCGAAAACTTAAATATATTAGTGAATATGCTAGTTTTGCTTGAAAATATTTTGATGTTACTCTATTTTGATTTAATGTAATAAAATGATTTATTTAACAATGCTTGAAGGTTAACTTATTTTTCGTTTATTTTTGAGTCTTCCTTCCCAGTCAGTCTAGTTCTTTGCTTTTTAGTCTATGCTTGTGCAAACCCTGTAAATAAACATATAGGCTTTCCTGGGAGAAAGTCTCATAAGAATTTTATTTTTAATCAGTCGCATTCTGTCAGAATATACTAAGAAACATATTTTCCTGTGGCTTCCCAAACTGGTGATTAATTTAGTTTTTCAGTTCCAATTCCGGTTAGAGCAGGGTGGCTTGAGGACGATGCCCCCGGTCACTGGGGCAGTCACTGTGGCTGATGGATGAGGGACTGGACTGGCCCATCCAGGAAGCAGTTCCTTCCCACTGCTAATGTGCAGACAGCTGGATGTGGTCATGTAAAGCATGACGACTGTCAAAGTAGATGTATGCATGGCTGGATCTCAGTTTCAGGGGGAGGACAGGAGGAAACCAGAGAGACTACATTTGCCTGTTAACCTCCCTCCTTTGTAACCACAGTGTAAATTCGTGAGGACAGTGATTTTGTGTGCAGGTGTGTGTGTATCTCCACAATGTAGAAAACTGGCATGCATTGGCTGATCAATAAACATTTGTAAAACGCACGTGTCATTTCATAAAGTGGATATTTATTGAATATCTTATCTATAGAACGCACCGTGCTAGGGCCTAGAGATACAATCCTTAATAAGACCTAATTCCTGCTCTCAGGCATTTCTTCATTCTAGGGGAGCCACTTTGTTTTTTGAAAGTCTTATCATACCTTCATAAACTTTACTGAAAATGGGATTGTCAGAGTAGTCCAGTAGTAAAGAATTGATTGATGGAGCCAGATTGTGACTTCACTTTGCCAGAAAGTATAGGCTACTTGGAGACCCTGCCCTGCTTATTGACTTACCCACAGCCACAGATGAGGACAAGGTGGGCTTTGTTATCCCTGACATTTCTACAATGCTGATTCCAGTAGACCATCTGCCTTCATATTCTCTCTCACCGTCCACCTCCAGTTACTGCTCCTCAATCCCTAAGCTTAGTTGGAAGGACAAACACACATTAAAATGAGCAGAGAGATGATAAGTGAAAGAATCTTGTTTTAGAAGAAAATATAAATTCAGCTCCTCCATCAGGAGAGATACTAAAAACTCATTTGGAAACCTCATGCTGAATGTCGAGTGTATAAGAAAAGTAAAATATTCACAGCTGAACCCATTATCCTTCTTGTTCTATATCACAGTTCCACTCCCCTTTGTTCCTGTTTTGTTGTTACCCCCATATATAGGGTTTATGCCCACAAATTCCTTCTTACCCACCATGTCTATTTGATTATACCTATTAATATTTTCCCACCATTTTGTTGCCCCTCTCCTGCCTTTATCATTTCTTGCTTGAATTATGTAGGTCTTCCCTTTAGTGTCGG